CTGACCTGGCGCAGACGAGGTAACTGACGTGGCGTCCAGAGCCGGCCCCCGGTGTCGACCGGGACGGGCAGCCAGGAGCTGGCTGGTGCTGGGGCAGGAGCAGGCCCAGCCCTCCGTGCCCTGCGGCGAGCCCTGTCCTCCCCCGGGCCCGTGTCGGTCAGCTCTGTCCGTGACCTCCCGGCTCAAGTCGCTTGGCTGGTCTGGATTCCCTGGCTCCTCCGCTCTGAAATGAGACCCACGTCTGGGCTGCCCACACCCGGGGCTGCGCTTCATTCTCCACTCCACTCACCTCTTCAGAAATCTTAGGCCAGTGTAGACTCTTCCGGTCCCTCGTCCATCCCCCAAGACTGTGTGCTTCAGTCTCTGCCCTGAGATGTTGCCCTCACGCTCCCCCCTGCTGACCGAGGCCAACGGGACGCACTCACGTGACGGCTGGGGGGCGGGTGGGGCCACATGATGACCGGACAGGCTGGTGCCTGACGATGAGTGTCGGCCACCCAGTACTGCCAGAGCCGCAGGCTTCTTAGGAAAACAGGAAACGAATTTTATATAAAATCCCTTAATATTTGCTGCTAATTTTTTTAAAAAAATTTAACACTTTATAAACTAAAGAAAACACATGAGCCAGTGGAGCTCAGCCTGTGAATAGCACTTTGCAGGCCCCCTGTTTCCATCGATTAGGGCAGCGAACTCACACGCGGACCGCCGAGGCTCTGAAAGTGCACGGTTCAAGCCAGCCTCCTGCCTGTGCCAGCGGTTGTATCTCTGAAACGGAGCATTTGGTCTAACGCCTGTTAGTGTCCCCCATGACTCGCCCGTGGCGGGAGGCGGGGGTGCTGGCTGGACCGGGCCAGCGGTTCACCACCTGGGCCCAGGCAGCCCCTCCGCCCACACACAGGGAGCCCCCGGCACGGGCCTTTGCGCACAGCAGAGGCACCCCTCCAGGGAGATGCCCTTGCCTCCTCCCCGTTCCCCATCCCGCCCCTTTACAAGTGCCTCGAGTTTTTAATTTTTCATAAACATAACTTTGATTTTAAATCAGGAGCAATGCATGGAAATACCCACATAGTACATAGTCTTTCCCCTTATTACCACTTTCCCCCTGTCTTCTTTTTCTTTCTTTTGTATTATTTTCCAGCCTTCTTTCAACTTCTCAAACATGGAAAGGCTCGTTGCCATCCCAGGTTCTGTGTGTGCTGTGCTCTCTCCTCTAAGTGTGCTTCTTTCAGCCCTGTGCAGGGTGGGCTTCTCTTTCTTCAGGACACAGCTTAAAGATCACCTCTTGTAAGGAGCCTTCCCTAACCACCTGGCCAGGCCATTCCACCCCAGTGCTTTCTCACAGGCTGTCTGTTATTTCCCTCCTGTAATCCCACAGCCTGTGATTGTGTGTTTACCTGTGCCAGGCCTTTCCCTAGGGAGGTTCAGAGGGCACCTGCACAGGCCTGGGCCCACAGCAGTCCTGCTGTGTTTAGCACATAAATAGACACCCCTAAGGCCAGGGCACTGTTTGGGGTACATTGACAACCCCGTATGTGCCACTGTTACTCAAAATCTTGTGACACTGATTTTGAGGCTCTGCAGCCCTCTAGACCTCGCTACATCAAGCGCTTCTGTGTCTGACCCAGTAATTTTGTATTCGGCTCATTTCTTGTGTTCAAGCAAATCAAGATGTCTTTTAAGAAAAAAAGAACAACTCACACGTAAGTCTACAAACTCAGAGAGTTTCCAGATACTCTCAGAACCTGTAAATAATGGCTATAGAGCCATTATATTTTCTTACACGGCGCATGCTAACTATCCAGAGGATCTCTACTTACACAGTGGATTCTCCCCTTCGCAGAGTTTCAACTGGAGAAAGCTGTAAAAAACAATCATGTGAAGCCTCTGGAAGTTGTCCTAAGGGCATACAGCAAATGGGGAAACATTCCTTTAGTGGAACCAAGAAAATCTGATAAATCTCACTAAGAACAGTGAGTCTGTGGCCCTTGAGCCCTGACTGCCCCCCCGCAACCACTGCTACTCTGAGGCTTTACTCCAGGGAGTGCAGTCAAGAAGACAACCCCCTCCCCTCAACTCCCAGTCCAGGGCACATTTCACTCTAGGAGGGCTGCCCACTAGCATCCCTTATCCTCAGGCCCCTGTTGCAGAAGCTCAACCCCAAGTGTGGTGGGCCAAGAATACTGGCCCAGTTGTCCTACCCCAGCCCGCCACAGGGTAGATGCACCACACAGAGAGGCTAGCCTAGAAGACCAGCGCCACCACCCCCACCCTCAGCACCCACTCTAGAGCAGAGGTGTCAGTCCAGGCAAAGGGGGCACTGCCCAGAGGGAGACAGGTTATGGTGAAGAAGAAGAGCTCTGTAGGGCTGCATGAGATGGCGGGAGAATTCCATGCCCAAGAGTGTTGTTGAAAACAATGAGGATCTTGGTGGAGAGAGGTTCAGAGAGTGCTTGTAATTTCCTGACTCTTTATCAACAAGCAAAGGACAGAGCAATGAAAAGTTAGCAGAGAGAATCAGGGAAAAGAGACCACCAAGAGCCCTCCTGGAATCACAGTCAGACTTGAGAGACAGGAAGGGTGTGCTCTCAGGAGCACTGACGGCCCCCATGGGAAGGTTGGGGTACGAGCCTCACTTCCCTGAAGGGCCTCAGGACCACCTCCAACCACACTAGATGAACAGTTGGCTGCTTTGAACCAGGGGCAACTCTGGGAAGCCAGACTTTAAAATCACACACAGGTCTGGCTGTCTGACCTGCCCAAGGCCACATCTTCACAGGTGTGATTAGGGAGGGGAAATATGAGCTCTGGCCAAAGGAGAGGGATGAGGGCAAAAACCTGCACTCCTTGAACTATGAGATCAACCTCCAAGACACACATGTCCAGTGGTAAAGATTAAAAGTCTGACTGGCTAAGGATGCTCAAGCACAACCTTTCACTAATAAGTGGCTTCGCTGACCTAGGGACAGCCTCTGGGTAGCCATGTGAAAAGATAAAAACAAGAAGGCAGTCTGAGCAGGACCATCAGAGCCTGCAGGGAAGAGCTGTTCAGACAGGTCACTGAGCAAGTGAGTAAACTACATCATCAACCCTTGGCGGAGAGGAGTCAAGGATCCAGAGTTGCCGCAATTTACTATCCAGCACGCCCAGTTGTCAACCAAAAATTGCAAGGTTTGCAGAGAAACAGGGAAGCAGGACCCATACATGAGGGAAAAAGCAGATGATAGAAGCCGCTTTTGAAGGGCCCACTTGTTGGGCTTAGCAGAGATTTTAAAACAGCCATTGTAAATACGTTCAGAGAGCAGAGGGAACCATGTCTCCAGATTACAGTGTGTAGATGACAGAGTCTAATCAAAAGGAGGATATCAGTAAAAAGACACAAACTGGAAAGAACCAAATGGAAGCTCTGGAGTTGGAAAGTATAATAACTGATATGAAAAATTCACTAGATAGGCTCAACAGTAGATGTGAGCTGGAAGAAGAAAGAATCCATGGACTTGGATCTAGAATAATGGAGCTAGTGCAGCCCGAAGGAGAGACAGAATGAAAAGTGCTCACTTTGACAGCACTTACACCAAAATTGGAACATACAGAGAGTAGCATAGCCCCTGTGCACATGACATGCAGATTTGGGAAGCATTACACATTTGTAAGCCCTTTGTCAAACTTAAAACTCTTCCCCAAGAAAAGAGGATTGTAATTTCAATAGGATGTTAAAACTTAATCTCAAATTGATGATTGCAGAGTATTTTAGCAATTAAAAAAATGCTTGTGAAGACTTTTTAATAACTTAGTCTTTATGAAGAATTAAAACATACCATGATTATCTCTGCACTATTATGGAAATCTCACAAATGACAAATAAATATTCTAAGGGGAGAAAAGAATGAAGAACCTCAGAAATGTGGAACACCATTAAGTGCACCAATACACATGTAATGGGAGCGCCAGAAGGGCAGGGGAGTGGGGGAGGGAACAGAAAAGATATTTGGAGTAATAATGGCTGAAGATGGCTCAAATTGGACTGGAAAACTTTACACATCCAAGAAACTCTATGAACTTGTAGTAGGATAAACCTAAAAAGAGACATACCCAAATGCGTCATAGTCAAAACGTTGAAAGCCAAAGATAAAGTCTTGAATGCAGCAAGTGAAAAGTGACTCCTCGTGTAACAAGGGACTTCTCGTTAGAAACAGTGGAAGACTAGAAGGCAGTGGGACAATATTCAGAATTCTGGAAGAAACAAATAACTTACATCCCACTTTCTTTTTGACCTTTAAATCCTGAGGTTAAGTCAGTAGGATTGAACATTAATTTTTCTACTTTAGGCAACTCAGCTCCTCATTTTTGTAAAATCCAAAGGCCACCGTTGTTCATCTTCATTTTGAAGTATTCTAGCTTTTCACTTGTTTGATCCAGACCTAATTATAAGCCACAGAACCCTACTCTTTGTGTAAAATTTTCTTTTTCCAGTCCACCATGAGAAATGAGTTTGTACTATATAAATGCCTTATAGCTACAACATATTAAATAATGTCACACATATGGAAATGTTAAGACTAATATATTTAAGATAGATAGGACATTCTTCTGGGTACCACCTGCTACATATCGCTCCGGAACAGACTAAAACCATATGGGCATCACGCGAGCAGTCAGGGATATTTCCTGGTGTTCTTGGGTATAAAATATCGTATTGCAAGAAGAATTGACCATAGTAATAATTGTATGTGATTTCAATGTATTTTTTTCTCCATAGATCTGATGAAGTAAATTTTAGAAAAGTTATTGCTAGCAACATTTTGGTGATAATTTTCAAGGAATACCTATTAATATCTTTGACTATTAGTGTTTGATAAAACATAATTTGAAATGTTTTAAATGGAAGTAGATTTCTACGGTGGATCTACAGTGGATTTCTAGTGAAGGAGAAGGAAATTCTGGTCTCTGTACTGAATCAAAAACTGTCTCCTAAAAGAGCAAATGTGGATCCTTTTTTGTAGAGTCTGCCTTCTCGTGCAAGATGCCCTCGGACTCTTCAGTGAGGTGCACTCGGAGGGCGCCGTCCTGAAGGACAGGGAGTTGGAGGGCAAGTCCTGCAGGCTGGCGGGAATGAAGGTTCTGCAAAAGGTCACCAGAGGAAGGTGAGGACACCACAGTAGCATCCAGTTTGCTACAGTAACATCTGTAATTTCATTTTTAAAGACAATAAACTAGGATCCTAGAGTCTGCCTCTAAGACAAGGCCACGAGTTGGGTGGAGCCCATAAAGTACTTATGGAAGAAAAATTATCATTGACAACAAAAATAATTATGCGGGTTTAGTGATTCACAATTTTATTAAAATTAGGATTAAAAATGTCATATATATGTATTTTAAAGTTTTTTCTTTCTTTTTCCTTATCTGTAGTAATAAGGCAGCTTTGCATGAGTCCGTTTATGTAAGTGAAAATATAATTGAGTGAAAAGGCACTTTATAAGCGTTAAGCAAAAGTCTTAATTTGTCATGTTTTTTGCTTTCCATAGCAAGAAAGCTTGTTTTCTGTCACGTTTCGTGGCTCCTCGCGCTCGGTGTTTTGGGTGGCGGTGGTACATAGATCTGGCCCCAGCGTGGGTTGTTCCATTCCAGTGAGCATCTTAATCTATGAATTAGGAAGCAGAAGAAACCTTTTCGGTGGAACGATCCAGTCATATAGGGAATGTGTAAACGGTGAATTTGGGTTTCTCTCATCATAGCCTCTTTCCTCAAGCAGTGTGTAATTTTAGCTGTCTTAATGCTACTGTCTTACTTAGAGCAACGTCTGAGCTTGTAACAGTGCGGGAGGGAGGAGCCGTTGGGAGGAGCCGTTGGGAGGAGCCCTTGGGAGGCGCCGTTGGGCGTGGGGCGTATGCGCTGCTCCTAGTCCAGTGGTCTGCATACCGGCCCTTCCGGGCCGTGCTCCGTCCAAACTGTGAGCGCCCGCCGCGTGTCTCGTGACTAGCAGCCGCTTTCCCCGGCCCCGCCCTCGCCCTGTGCCACATCTGTCTCTCACGTGCCGCTGAGTGGCGGCTCCACCCAGGACCCTGTTTTCCTGAAGGACAGACCCCCTGTGAGCCCTGCATTGATTCATGTACACTCGGCTGGTAACAAATGCTTCCTTTTGCTTACAGAAGGGAGGCTGTGTTACAGTGTAATTGCCTTATGGATTAGGGAGGGAGCTGCCCAGATATTTGGAAAGCTTAAGTGGGTCACATGAACCTTATCGTTTCGAAGGCTGAACCCCATGTAGTCCTCAGTTTCAGAATCACAGGCATCTGGAAAGACCGTGTGTAGTGGTGGTAAGTGAGGTGCTGCTCTGGCGTTGGCCTGACGGCATTAACCCCACCGGGGCCGTGTAGACCTCCCTGACATACATTCGGCACCAGCCTCGCACCTGAGCACGCCGGGGTACTGGGGCTCCCCATCTCGGGCGCCTCAGTGGAGCCCCTCCAGCTGGCACGTGTCCTGGTGTCCTGCAGGCCAGAGGAGTCCACTCCTGGGGACGTACTTCCTGCTGGTGACTGGGGGACCCAACTCCAGGGAAATACTCCTGGGGACTGACAGAGCCAGGAGGGGTCCAGGGGCTTTGCTCTATAAAGTACATGCTTTGCTACCGTGATGCTATACAGCCATATGTGTACCTAATGTTTAATCTGGTTTTTGTGGGTTACACTGGAAGCCTTGCTACTGTGTACAACATTGCCATAGGAAATGTTTTTTCCACGGGAAATGCACTGACTATTCTGAATAATTCATTTACAGACTTTTGGAACCCATCCATTTTTAAGTTGGACTAAAATTTGACTAAGTATTGGATACTTTTTTAGGTTGGAATTAATTTCTTTATCCTATGTGTTTATTTTAGCATGCAACTATCCAAATAAATATTAAGATTGTCTTTTTGTTCTTTTGGAAGCTGTATTTCTTCAAAACAAATTATTAAATAGCTTTGGAATGCTGAATGTTATAATTGCCTATTAGTGACATCATCCACTGTCAGTCATCCATCCACGGCCCAGTAAACACAAATTGTCTCTTCCCCCCCAATTATTGTGTTTCATAGCAACTCTCATAAACCTTAACAAAATATATTTCTGATAAACCTTAACGAAATACACTTAGTTCCCAGAATTCAAGCTAAAATGATTAATTATAATTATATAATTCCAATATCTAATATAGAAAATTATTTTTTGCCAGTTGGAAGATAGTTTTACGTTTGGGCTGATCGTGGAGCCTTTGAAATCTTAGCTCCCCGGTCTCATCTGGTCCACAGTCACAGTGACGGAAGTCACTGCTCCCTGTGGCGCTTTGGGTGGACTGGCGGCCTTGGGGCTGGGCCTGTGCAGGGCGTCCCACCCTGTTCACCTGCCGCCTTGGGAAGAGTTGCAGGAAAACAGCTGTCATGTCTGTCGCATTTCTCTGACCGCTTTTTGGAGTTGTGTGTCTTGTGTGTCCATACTGACTCGTTAGGGTGAGAAGAGTCAGAAAAATACCCTGGACGTAAAGGAAAAGACCATTTTAAAACAACACTGCTGAGGCATGTGCCTCTCCCTGGCTCTCTGCGTCCTTGGAGGACTCCAGGCTGTTTGTCCAGGGGCTGAGGCGTGTCCCCTGACCTTTGTCCTCCCAGGTGGCCTCTGCAACAGTTTAGAGGTCAGACAGGCTGAAAACTCACTTTACTTTGGTGTCTTAGTTCTGTGTATGAGCTTTATCTTTTTATTGCTGATTATTATGTGCTCTTATTTTTATGTGATAGGGTAATACTGAAGGAAAAAAGAAATTTTCTGAAACATCTTAATCCTATAAGTATGGAAAATATAGTTAGCATATTTTTGGCGGGGGAGAGGAACCTCTTTCAATTCAAAGTCCTGCTAATACTTAATATTCCTACTTGTTAAAACAAAAGCCACTAATCTGTCTAAAATACATTATTAATGTATAAGTGACTATTTTATTTATATCTCTTTAAGAGTAACGTACTGGAGAAGACTGTTGCAGAGCATTTAGTCAGCACTCACCGTATACAGAGGGGTCTGTCTGAGTGCTGAGAATGACAGGGAAGCAACTAACAAGATCTTTGACCATGAATTGCCTCCTTTTGAACTGGAGATTAGACCTGCCCAGGGATCCTGGGCGGTTGTTGCTTTAAGTGATGGGGCCTTAAATGGCTGGTCTTTTCCTCAAATTGGTAAGATGTTATCTGTGAAGACATAAAAGTAGGATTAGAAGAAAGTATAATTCAGTCATTTATTCATTAAATATTTAGGACTTCTTTGTGCTATGCCCCTGGCTGGTTGATGCTGTGCTAGATTTTTGGGATTTATCTGAAACCACAGTATACTGAAATAAAAAGTCAGCTAGACAAAGCCTTAAATCCTATTATTAGGGATTCTGCATTGATCCAAGAGAAAATTAGGGCCCCTAGGAGTTTTTGAGAGAAGAAAAGAAGAGGTAATAAAAATGAAAATAGAGTTAAGATTATTCTACTCTTGTACTTTTAATAGATTTGAAATAGAAGGAGGGATTGGGCAGGGGTGCAGATTTGGAAACTTCTGCAGCAGTTGAGGGCAGGAGAAGGAAGAACGCATCACCACTGATTTTTAACTTCCAGTAGTTTCGGGGGCCAGGGGGGTGGGTGGTGCTCTCCTGGGAGCTGTGGTGATGCCAGGAGTGTAAAATAGCCCCTTTCTCCCAGAGCTCATGGACCAGCAGGAGAGCCAGGAGGAGGTCCCGAGAGACACCAACCGGCGAGTGCCAGTTACAGAGCAGCCACTTTGCCCGGCTCAGAGGGCGGGTTCAGATTTGGGAACCCTGGAGAGAACGGGAGGGGCCTGGGGCTGAGGACAAGAGGGCGGGAGGACACGCCCCCTGATCTAGCCGTCCACTCACCCCCTGGAGCGGGTCCATATGGTCAGCTTTGAGGATAGAGTGAGGGGTTGGGCACGTTGAGGGGGGTGTATTTCAGAGAATGGTCAGATTAATAGTTACTGTTTAAATGCCAGCTTTTGTTTTAAAGGTAACAGATTAAGTACTGATAAACTTTAAGTTAGAAGCCAGGCTTAGTTAGCATGATCACAGACTAACCCCATGGTCAGGAAACAGAAGGCCCTCGAAGCCCCTATGCTGCTCCCCAGCCCACTGCCCTTAGGGCTGTTGGTCTGGCCCGGGGTTGGGGGGGGCGGGGGGAGGGGCAGAGCACTCTCCCGTTCTCCGGGTGGCGCCTTTGTCTCTTGCAGCCGCTGCTTTGGGTCCAGTGCTCAGGGCTGTGTGGGATTCTCAGGACCTGTGTCCCACCAGAGGGGTATACTGTCATGTAAACTTGAGTGACATTTTAGCAATAATACGCAAGCGTTAACAGTGGTCTGAGGAGCCCTGGGATGGCTCCCCCAGCTGGCCTGTGCTGTGTCCCAGCTGCTCAGCTCTGAGTCCCAGCGGCTTCTTGACATGCAGACCTGGTCTTGCCCCTCTGCATGGTGTAGACCGTGGATTAGGACGCCTCGTGGCCAGTGTCTGAGGCTGGCCTGCCCATCATAAGGCTCTGTTTCTCGCTCACCATTGTCTTTCCTGTATGTGGCTCAATTCCTGGCACTCGAGAGGCTCATAATAAGTATTTGTGGAATGCACATTCGTTGTTTGCTTGGGTTCATCTTAGATTCTCCTCAACGAGATTTGAATGTGTACACTTGTACTTTCTGAGCAGTAATTATTGGTGCTCAATTTTAGTGGGAAGAATAGAGACTAAGTTGGTCCCAAGACCAGTGTCCAGTGCAGGGTGAGGACCACGCCTTTTGTGCACCTTGGACTCAAGACCCTGGGTCTTCCTCACTAATAAGTCTAGGGGGTAATGCCTGAGGTTGTTGTGAAAGCACTTTATCCAGGATGGGATCCCATCTTATGGAGGAGGGCCTGGATCAGGTGAGGGTGACTGGTGAGGGTGACTGGTCAGAGGTCAGGCTTCACTGTGACTTTGGGCACCAGGGCGTTGGTCTCCTGGGAGACCCTGTGTGACCCACGTGCATGGAGGTGCAGCAGAGGGAGTTTTTAGGGATCGTCCAGCACAAGTCGATGCGTGTGGGTTAGGGTCGTTGTGGAGGGATCATCTCAGTTGCTCCTCTAACAGGAA